CCGGCAGGGCGCGTGCGCACTGCAGGGGCGCCAGATTTGGCGGGAGGGGGAGTGTCCAAAGCTCTTTGTTTGATGGCATCTGTTTACAGAGTTACACTTTAATATCAACCTGTTTCCTCCTCCTCCTCCTCCTTCTCCTCCTCCTCCTCCGCGACCTCCTTCTCCTCCCCTTTCTCCAGAGAAACTTGGCCCCGGCGGCGGTGCGGAGCGCCGCTGCGCAGCCGGGGAAGGACGCAGGCGAGGCGGAGGGCAGCGGGAGGAGGCGACCGGTGCGGACCCCGGGGCTCTTGGCGGAGCCCCGGCCCGCCTCACCATGGCCCGGAGACCCCGGCACAGGTAACGGGAAGCCTGGGCAGGCGGCCTCGGGCCGGCGCGCGCGGGGATCCCGGCCCCCGGGAGCAGGTGGGGATTGCCTCCCCGGTTGTTTGCGGGACTGTCAGCGGGTACCTGGGTGGCAGGAGCCACTCTGGAGATGGAAGGATGGACAGCTCTGCGAGAAGCAACGGGTGCAGTGAGAAGCGTGCCCAGAGGCTCATTCCTCCTTCTTCTTAGTATTATTTTATTTTTATTTATTTATTTATTTATTTATTTATTTATTTATTTATTTATTTATTTATTTATTTATTTATTTTTGCAAGTTGCGCGGAGCTAGGTTTCTCTTTGGTGGTGGTGGGGATCCGGCGCTTTTCAGTCAAGGGCAGAACGGGTCCCCGAGGAGCCCACCAGGTGTTTGGCTTGACGCCCCGGGTGTCGGGGAGGGAGCCGCAGCCTAATTGCTGCACGCCTTGAGCTGTGTTTGCACTTGGAGTTGAAGAGCATATGGCAGATCTAGGGAGAGGCCGGCTTGCTTAGTGGCTGCAGGTAGTTCATTTAAATTTCATTCATTCATTCCGGAGGCCGGAGAGGTGTCATCTGACAGGCAGCTGCAAAGACTTCAGGGGGGCCAAACGGGCCTGCAGCTCGTTTTCCACCCTGTTTCTGGGGATTCGGGCATTTGCTCTGTGACAAGCTTTTATTTCTCCTGCAAACGTTGCGCGCGCCCGCGTCGCACATGTCACCGCACCGGCCGGGGTGAGGGGTGCGCTCGCTTCCCATTCGGGCCCCACGTTGGGCGAGAGGGACCTCGTCGGGAGGTCAGTGGTTGGCCGCCCGGGGGCTGCGGGATCGGGACCGGCCAGGGCGGCCGGACAGCAACGGCTGCCGCGGGGCTTAGCTCGGTGGATGACGCCCCGGGGTGCAAAGCGCTGGAGGCCAGCGGCCCCCGAGGCAGCCGCGGCGCCCCCGGGCCGGTGTCGCCTTCTCCCGAACCGGAGCTCCCTGCGCCCCGCGCACACGTGGACGCCGCTGCAGCAGTCCCGGCCCTCTGCCCCAGCTAGCTGCCCTCGGTAGCCCGCCTCTGCCAGGGCACGGGACCACCCTAGAGAAGACTCTGGCCAAAAATAAAAAATAAAATAAAATACACATATATTAACTTTTTTTTTTTTTTTAAGTGCGTGGAGACCAAGTCCATCCTCCCGGCTTCCAGCCAGGGTTTGATTTTTGCTAAATTTAATCTGGGTTTTCTGTTTTGTTTTGTTCGGTTGGGTTTTGGGGGTTTTTGGACGCGGCAGGTACTGGTCCTGGCCCTACCCGGCGCGGGCTCTGGGAAGTTGCAGGGCGCGTGGGCGTGGGCCCTGCGGCGCAGCCCCGGGCTAGGCCGGGCGGGAGCGGCGGCCGCTAGGCGTCGGGACGGGAGGGGGGTGGATTTGGGGAGACCGTGGATGTTGGCTCGCGGTGCCTGGCCCCGGGCCGGGCGCGCCGGTCCAAGGGCCGCCCCCTGAAGACCGCTCGCCTTTCGCTTTGGGGACCCAACCCGACTGCACCGGGGTCACCTGTTCCGCGGAGGAGGGAGCAGGGAAGGGGTGCTCCGAGGAGGAGGCGCGGCCCGGCCCGGGCGCCCCAAGGTTCAGGCTGCGCGGGGCGTGGCCGCGCAGCTTCCCCGAGGCTCCCAGGTAGCCGGGAGCGGGGGCGGCGGGGAGGGGCGGGAGCCTTGAACTTGACTCAGGGGGGAAGAGAAACCCGGCTGCGGCCTCGGAGCCGTTTCTGGCCGGGCGAGCGTCGACTCGGCAGGGATTATTAACCAGGTCAGCGAAATGAGTCTGAACCCCCTTTTCTAGAATCACGTAGCGGCCACAGGCACTTCCTCCCGTTCCCCTCCCTCTTCCCAACCTCCCCCCCCCCCCGCCCCCCCAGCAACTCATTTTCGTTTCTTTGCACAGTTTGTTTCCTTGATAGAACGTAATATTCATAGTTGTAGTCTTGTAACCACACCGGCTCTCGCAGGTGGAGGAGTGGAGGGCGTCTGGCTTGAAATCAGCCTTTGAAAGTCCTTTGACTGTTGGGTCTGAGATCTTGTCAGGGCAGATAAGGAGAAGTTATTTCAGGGTCCTTTGTCGAAATTAATCATGCTACTGAGGAGACCAGGTCAGTTTAGAGCAAGGAAATCGCATGCAAAGCTGGAAGGCGAGCCCCTTGCGAAGCTGCTGACAGCACCTGGACTCGCCCTGCTGCCTCTCACAGCCCCTCTGGGTCTGCAAAACTCACCAGCCCCTGTTCACTTTGGCTTTGCACAGCTGCTCAGCGCTTGCTTTTGAAGAGGCACGGGAGGCCTTGGAGGCATGCGCTCTGGAAAGTACCTTATAGATAGAATCCACGCCCTAATGCGTAGGACAGGATCCACGAGGTGGTTGGGGTGGGGGGGGGATTTGAACAAATCAAACGGCTAGGTGCAGGCAGAGCTTTGCTGGTCCCGGTCCTCCGTGAGCCCAGTTCTCCTCACCTGATTGTCGACTGCCCCCTGTGGGCGACTGCGGGTGTTGCTGGATTTTAGCTTAAGTTTTGACCAGAGTAAAAAGCCAGTTGCTTGCATGGAAGATAACGCACAGTTCTGCAAGTGACAACTTCGTATAGGGACAAACCTAAAAGGCTAACCTAAGGAGAGTTAAGCCTGCAGCCCCACTCTCGGATTCTGTTGGCCTTCTTGGTATCCCTGTTACTTCTTAACAACGAGGCTGCTTTCCAAGTTCCTCAGCGAAAAGGGAATTGTCACCCAAAGACAGTTCTGGGCTCATAACTTTCTTTTTATGCTTTATAACCTGTGTTTCATATTAAGGAGACGTTTGTAATTATTGTTGCTCAGAAGTTTACTGCTCCTGTTTACTGTAGGAAACTAAACTGTTCTTCTTTCAAAGGATTGACGCTAAGTGGAAAAAAAATGATTGCACATCCTGAATACAGTTTAGTGGGATTTTTTTTTTTTTTTGCTGATGTTATTTTAAGGTTAGATTACATCCTGTCATTATGCAGCTTGAACCATCAGCTTGCTGCTCAAAATAATAGTTTTAAACGATAAGAATTCCAATTCAGGAGTTTGGTAAACACCTTTACTTAACTTGTAGGGGACTGGAAAAATATATTGAATGAGTTGGTATTGAAAGACAAACCCTATTATGAATGTAAGTTTGCTTTTTAAAAGTAAATTTCATTTTGATATCTTATATCAGTTTATTGGTCTGGATTTGATGGGTTTTTCAATTTTACAATGGTGAATATTAGTGAAGTTGTTAAGCATATAACTTTTCATACCTTAGGTTTTTATAGAGAATGATAACAAAAACTAAACTGCAAAATTACTCTGTTCAGTGTATGATTGGTTAAGTTTGGAGTTACTTCAGCCGTCATCAAAATTCATGATGTTACTCAACTCAGTAAAAGAAAAAGGGCTGTTTTCAAAACAGTAATTTTTTTAACCTGTAGATTTCGTCGGGGGAACCCCTTGGTTTTTAATTAGGCACATTGTAAGTTATTTTAGACACCATTCAGTCAGAGACAGAGAAAACAAGAGTAAGTAGGATTCTGACTAGTCAGTGCCCCAGTGATGTGCTTAGTTACTCTGGAAACAGCATTGTAAACACAGCTACAAAGTTAGGTGGACCAGACCTTGGGTTTTAAATGATTTGATATTTATGTGAATCACAAAACAGTTTGATGGCTGCAACCCTTCCTAGGTTCTGACACCCTTCCTGCTTAGCTTTCTTCTTCTTCTTCTTCTTCTTCTTCTTCTTCTTCTTCTTTTCTTCTTCTTTTCTACTTTTATGGTCTTAAAAGGATGGTCACAATTAAGCTTTTGAATGGATTATGTCTTGTTTTTTGTTTGTTTGTTTTAATTTACTTTAACAGACTACCAGCACTATAAGGGCATGATTGATTGCTTCGTTGTGTTCAGGATCTATGTGAATGCTTTGACACATGCCAAAGAGTTTGAGTATGTGCTTATGTAAAGGACATGGGCTCCTGCTCCTTTTATTGTCCTTAACATTGAGTTTTAAACGTCAGCGTCAATTGGTTGGGAGGTTGCCAGAAGTGTCGCTTGTCACTGGTCTAACAGTAACAGCAGGTTCAAACATGCAGAGCGAGAGCAAGCGCCAGGGCTTCCGAGTCTCTGTGGATACCAGCAACAGCAGAGCCAGTTCACAAACACTGCAGCAACAGAATGCAAAGAACAGCCTCATTGCTCAAGTTCGCCAAGTTCTGTCTTCGCAGAACTTTTAAAAGCTCGCTGAAGAGTTTTTGTTTGAGTTTCGATGCTGCAGTAGCTTAGATCCCATGCCTTCAGCCCATGTCTGTCCATTCTTATTTCTGCAGCATATACAGTAGCGATGAGGATGATGAAGACATTGAGATGTGTGACCATGACTATGATGGGCTCCTTCCCAAGTCTGGAAAGCGTCACTTGGGGAAAACTAGGTGGACAAGGGAAGAGGTAACTAGTCACTTTTTATTAAAACATAGAAAAAAATGTAGAGTCTGTAGTTGGTGAAACTGAAATCTTAGCTTCATGAGCTCATCTGATGCTTGAAGAGTCCCCCCCCCCATCTCCCCACCCTTGGCATGCTATACAGAATGCTCACCCCTCATCTCTCTCAATATGTTTATTCTGCTTTCTGTTTCCAAGCCATTTATAGTTTTGGGATGTTCTCTCCTTTTCCCCTTATGGTTTGCTCATCTATTTCTCAGTCTGGAGCCCACTGCTTTTTATTCTTTTTTAACATGTCTTACCACATTGCCTCTTCTGTGGAAACATTGCTTGCTGCCATCTTTAAGGCTGGATGTGCCCTCCTGGGTTCCCCTGACACTGGGCACATGCTTGCCTTTGTTGTGTTGTACATGTATGTCTTTCCTGACACACTGCAAGCCTATTAAGGGTTAGGACTAAAGTGTTTCTTCATCTTTGTGGGGGTTTTTTGTACCCAAAATAACTTGTAGGACAGTAATAAATGTTCTCTAAATAAACTGATGCATTGCTATTTTCTAAATTAAAGCAGTCATAGAGCTCATTGTCATAATCTGTTCATGTAATTTCCTTACATATCATATTTCACAGACTATGTGAATAGAATAGAGTAATAGAGTACTCAAATAGAGTAACATGAGAGGTTACTCTAAACACTTCCAATAGTGAGTGAAGATATCCCCACTTCAAGAGCAAAATCATTAATGTATGAAGAAAGGGTTCTTCCTTCTTTACTGAACTATGAAATTCATTGTGTGCTAAAATCAGAGCTCCTGAGAACAGGCCGACAGGACTCCCAGGGAGGTACTTAGGAAATGCCTACTACACCTCTCAGGGTCAGTTGCTCAGGAGCTTCCGTGGACTATGGAAGTTCCACTGTTGGCCATGGAGTCCCAGTTCCTGTCTGTCTTGTCACTATATGTGAGTGTCATCTTTGCAGAAACCTGCGGAAGGCTTGTGTGATCTGGTAGTACAATGAGCTGATAGCATTGAGAATGTATTCTATGCCCTGACACATGTGGTCATTCATAAACCCTGAACACATGGATACAGATCTTAATGACTTTACTGCAGCACGTGCACCTTCAAGTTTAAGTACATCAAATAGCTTCTGCTTTTCATGTGAAGGAGGTTGAACCAATGGGAGATTGTCTTGTCCACAGTCTTATCTTTTTCCAGGTTGAATGGCAACTAAGTTTAGCATTGGAATTCATTTTCCCCCCATTCAGCAAATGTGTCAACAGTTACCATCTATTAAACAATAACACAGGCCAGGCTCTGCTGTTTTACATAATGGTGTTGTGTGATTTCCAGATAACCACATTGGTATTTGTTGATATTCCTATTTTATAGATGACAGTATGAATCTGTTTATATTGCTACTCAACAGCAGTATCAAAGTAAAAGCTTTAGTGTGTCTGTAAATAAATCTATGCCCAGAACAGTCTATTACACTGATACTGGCTTTATTTGAATAGTTTTGAAAGTTGTTTTTTTCCTGAACTGGATTATGAGGTTGGTTCCTTTGTGCATGATAACTTGGACAGTGCTATTCAGTAAACAGCTGATATCCTGGGATTGCCTTTAAATGCCTTAGGATGAAAAGCTGAAGAAGCTAGTGGAACAAAATGGAACAGATGACTGGAAGGTGATTGCCAATTACCTGCCGGTAAGTTAGATATTATTTCTTTTTTGAGAAAGAAAAACTTTCTCCGGATTTAAGGAGATAGTCTTGGAGAGTTTATTAAAATATTATGTATTCATTCACGGAGATGTAAAGGGGAGACAGACATCCATAATTTTTGTTTCTGACTGTACAACATATAATTGAGGTTTCTAGATGTACTATCAAGAGATTTTTATTTTTCCCAACAATTGCTTCTTGTTTTGTTTCCATTTATCCTGATATCATAAGTTAACATTTTGACGGGTTGTTACAGGGTAGAATGTTAAACTTGCTATTTTCTCTAAGCCAGTTTCTAAATTCCTCATTTTCATCAACAATGATTTTTTTTGTGTATGGAATTACAGTTCTAGAGTGCCTTTTGACCGTACTCTCCCAGCCTCCATCTCAATGATGGGTTGGGAGCTTAGGGCTCCTTTACAGTCTTCCTCATTCTTTTCATTGCTATGGTCTGGTCACAGGCTGGCTGTCCTGCCCTCACTATCACAGTGCCTTCCTGCCTTTTCACTCTTCCATCCATTCCCAGCACGATTTGCTGTGGAGCTTCCTAAACTGCAGCTATACCTAACTGCTGCGCTGGCCTGGAGTGTCTGAGTGCCCAAGTTTGGTCTCCTGTCCCACATTAAAACAAACAAACAAAAACCCCACAACAACAAACAAATGAACAAGCCCCACCACTGTTGACAGAGGTTCTCACAAAGCAAGGGAGCTGCCTTGACCTGGCGCACAGAAGCTCTCTCTCCCATCTGGCCCTGACTTACCGCACCGCTGTCCTCTCTCCCTCCACTACCAGCTCTCTTTTTCCTTCGCACAAGAGGTTTGCTTGCATTCATTTCTGCTTTTTCTCCTCTGGGCTTTTCTTCCTGGTGATTTCATCTCCTAGAATGTTCTCTGTTTTGTCATTAGACATTCGGAGCATCCTCCAAAGGCCATTCAAAGAGCTCCCGAATGCCTCCGAAGGGGGCAATGCTCATCTTCAGGGCCCTTCTTTCCTTACACCAACTGCTCTTGAACTTTTCTTGCAGATAAATTCAGCCTTCTGTGACAATCATTTGTGCGCTCATCTTTTCCTTCTTCTAAGATCATAAGGTCTGAGGAAGTGAGAACCCTTTCTTGTTCTCATTCTGTTTAAGTGTGAGGGCTTGTGCTCTTGACCCAAGCGCTGAAAGGTTTGAATGGGAGGAATGTGGAATCTCTAACACGTCCTAAGCCACAGACTGAGGTTAAATTACATTGGCATATGTGTCTGTGATATGTCCGTCTAGTCATGTGACAGAACATTCCCTTCCGAAGACACAGACTCCAATCCTAGCTGCAACTTGGATGTATTCTCTAGTGTGTAAGCAGTGTGCGATAGGTGGACTCTGTACAAGCCTCAAAATGTTCTTGGGTGTTTTCGCTATGTATTGTGCACATGTAACTCATACTGAAAAAGTCTTCATGCGCTCATCACATCTTTTCTTCGTGACGGGGAACACTTTGTCTAGAACCGGACGGATGTGCAGTGCCAACACCGATGGCAGAAAGTGCTAAACCCTGAACTTATCAAGGGTCCCTGGACCAAAGAAGAAGATCAGAGAGTAAGTTCTGTGTCCACAGATGTATGGGTTGTAGTTAAGAATATTACTAAAATGTGTTCCTTACCCCAAGGAAGCAATTCAAACGTACAAATGGGAAGTAAAGGGCTCACTCCCATATGTCCAGCGCATGAGAGCAGATTTTTGTAGTTCTCTTAATATCTTGTAACATTGAAGCTGGATGACACTGACTCTTTCCATAACATTAAAACACAGATTATTTTTGTGTTTATCTGAAGGTGATAGAGCTTGTACAGAAATACGGTCCGAAACGTTGGTCTGTTATTGCCAAGCACTTAAAAGGGAGAATTGGAAAACAATGTAGGGAGAGGTGGCATAACCACTTGAACCCAGAAGTTAAGAAAACCTCGTGGACAGAAGAGGAAGACAGGATTATTTACCAGGCACACAAGAGGCTGGGGAACAGATGGGCGGAAATCGCAAAGCTACTGCCTGGACGGTAATACTTTGTCAAAAACTGCATTGATTGGGAAAAACAAGGGATGGTCATTAACCATTCTGTGTGTGTGAATGAACTGCATTCTATAAGCATTTTGTTGGATAAACCAGAACCATCGATATTTAGAAGTGATCCTGGTTTGTTTCATTGGACAGTCTTAGTGTCACAGCATTGGTGAGCCTTGGGCCAAACCTTTCAACTTTCCTCAACCTTCTCCATTTGCAAAATAGCTAATAGTGTATTTCATGAGCTGATTTTAGGGTCAAGTAAAATGAACTTCAAAGCATTTGTAAGTTAAAGAACTCTAAATGCCTAGAAGGAAACCACAGACACATAGATTGCTTTTGGGTCTGAGTTTATGCAGCCAGTTCAGTGACCAGCAATCATTTTGGCCACTCTAGTAATTTCCTACTCTAGTAATTTCCATTTTCCTAACACCTACATTCACCTCATTTTATCATTATGTTACTAGTTTTTTCCTGTGACTAAAAAAAGGCTGTGCCTACTTCAGGTTTTTAACTAATTTCTATGTGATGTCTTCTTTGTCCCTCTGTGAAGGATAATTGTGAAAGCTCACCTTTGACTCTTTCTCTATTTATATAATTGATTTTATCTATTTTGAGAAATACTTTTACTATAGTTTTTAAAATAAAAAAAATACTAAAAGTATTTTTGTTTTTGAGCTTCTTAACCCCAAAGTAGGGAATGGAGTGTTTCACAGATGGCTTACCCAGTATTTCTGAGCGTTGCACCAACACACCTCCTCCCCCGTGGCTTGAGAGCTGTAAGAAGTCATGGATCTGGTCAAAGAAGGAGGTCTTTCCTCCCATGTGGCCTCAGAGGATATACTGTAGGCTTTTCTAAAAACCAAAGGGGCAACTGAACTTCCTCTTTCTTTAACACACATTTCCCTACCCCCATGGAAATAGTAAAAATGTTTTTACTTGAATTTTTTGTTTTTTTGAGCTGAGAAACTTTTCCAGAGAATGAAATTTTTAATTTAAAAAAAAGAAAAAGAAAAAGAAAACAATCAAACAAACACCCTTGGCAGTCTGAAACTCTCCTAGGGAGTCAAGTGTGGTAGCACATGCCTGTAGTTCCACCATTCAGGAGGTAGAGGCAGAGAGACCTGGAATTCAAGGCCAGTCAGACTACTACCCTGTCTCAGGAAAACAGCCGCTACTCCTCCCAAGAGAAAGAAAATATACCTGGGCTAGCATCTTTCATTTGGGATCCTCCTGAGCGTCGTGGTGGAGAATGCCCACTCTTCTCTTTATGTAATTATAAGAATAATCAGAGTGGTTTCCAAGAGGTAAGGAAATTTGTTGTTGTTATTTTTGTTTTTGTTTTTCAAGACAAGGTTTCTCTGTGTACCCTTGGCTGTTCTGGGCTCACTTTGTAGACCAGGCTGGCCTTGAACTCACAGAGATCTGCCTGACTCTGTCCTCTGCCTCTGCCTCCCAGAGTATTAGGAATATAGGCATGTGCTACTGCACCAGCCTCTAAGAAGGAGTTTTGACTCAAACTTTGTATATAGAGTTTATGGGAGATAGACAGCCGGTGCTGAAGCTTTCTCTTCTCACTGCTGTCGCCATGCTTTGCTAAGTCCCTGCTGTGGTGCATCAACCCTGCTAAGCCACAGTGCAAGGGCTTTCTAACAGCGGAGACCTGTTATATTCAAGTCCAGGAGCACGCGAAGGGGGAGAGCCTAGAGAAGGGTTATCATATTAGAAAAGACCAAGACAATTAAAAAGAAAAAATAACAGTTAGTGGAACCACAGAAAAGATATCTTTTAGAAACAGTTTTCTGTCAACCGACTGTGATCTGAGTTAAAAATTTTTGTAACGTTGGTATGTGGTCCATTTCCACACAGGACTGATAATGCTATCAAGAACCACTGGAATTCCACCATGCGTCGCAAGGTGGAACAGGAAGGCTACCTGCAGGAGCCCTCGAAAGCCAGCCAGACGCCGGTGGCCACCAGCTTTCAGAAGAACAATCATTTGATGGGTTTTGCTCATGCCACAAGTTCATCTCAGCTCTCTCCAACGGGCCAGCCCTCAGTTACCAGCGACTATCCCTATTACCACATTTCCGAAGCACAAAATGTAAGCCACCCCTGAGAACCCGGTGGGAGGAGAGAGAGGGTTATGTCAGTCCAGGTCATAGAACTTCTTTACAGTTGTATGCTTTTCATGGGAATTGTACGGTCACAGATTGTCCTCAGCTAGACCCACTGGAGGGGGCAGAAGATACACTTGAGTCTGACTTATGTTTCTGGAAGCAACAATGAGAAGTCGTTTGTCCTGCGTTCACAGCCCATAGACCATAATGCTGACTAGAATCTAAGTCGTTTGATTCTAATTTGCTGTCCCAAATCTGGTTTAAAGTTACATTTTGAATGCAAACATACTTAAAATGTTGCTAAGTCTTAAGAATGGGTGAATGAAGACAGATGTATAATCCAGTAGCTTTCTTTTCCAAACTCCGTGTAATGTTACATTTAAAGTCATAAAGAAGAGATAGCTAAACTCTGAAACACAAAGGGAGGTTGCAGGTTCAGTTCTGGCAGTGATCTAAAGGAAAAGTATTCGTGTAGACATGCAGTAAACGTTTACTTTCTCACTGAGTCACGGCAGGGCTGCGACATCCATTCAGAGCTGTCTCCCTTTACCCTCACTTGGATTGGCATGACTCCTTCCTCATTTCTAGACATTCATATCTGGGGAAAGAAATCCGTTATGGCACACAGGGGGGAAGGCTAAGGAGACTATCAAGAAATGCTTATCATAGGGCTGATGATAAAAAAAAATGACAAAACTCACCCACAAATTACAAAGATCGTATGCAAATGTTATGTAAAACATATTCATGAACAGTTTTTACTTGGCTCTATCTGTTTCTTAGATTTGACTACAGAATTTTCAGAAAGGTCTCTGGTGAATGAATTATCATACAGGCTTCTGCGCTTTTTATTAAAACTGAACATTATTCTAAGCAAAGTCTCCCTGGTGACAAACAGCTAGCAGTGCAAATGTCTGTCAAAACTTCTTCCACACATCCATGATCACCCTTTCTATTGCTGTTTTCTTCGATTGAGGAATGCTTTCTGTTGGGATAGACAGACCTTTGGGCCTCTTTCCCTATATTTCTTGAACTCCTTAGCCACTTTAAAAATATCTGGCTAAATTTCAAGTTAGAGAAGTTTTGCTTTCGTTTTTTAATCATTCAGTGAATCTTACCCACAAAGTACTTTCTCCCTTGGTCCCAGAACAAAAGCTTAGGGAGCTGTGACACTTGTGAGGCATGAATGACTTAGCCTTCGCTTTGCTCTCCGGTCTAGCTCTCCGGCCACGTCCCATACCCTGTAGCACTGCATGTAAACATCGTCAATGTCCCTCAGCCAGCTGCTGCAGCCATCCAGGTGAGCTTGTCTGATGGGCAAAGCCGCCAGCTGAGCGCGGCACCGCTTTCCAGGAGTTCTTTATTCCTCCCACATAAACGTGTATTTTACAACCTGTAATAGAAAGAAAAGCACCTGGCATTGAGGGCCTACTTTGGTCCAGCCGTTTACCAGTGGTGGGTTCTGGAATTTTCTGATGCCTCCAGGAGCCTGTGCTCTGGCCTCCGCTTCCCCCCTTGTTGCCTTAAGTCCCATGTCACTTTGAGCAGGTGGAGGTGAATTCTGTGGGGGGTGGTTCCACGTGGCAGCTCTCCGGGCTTTGGAAGGTACCGCACTCCGACCGTGTCTTTTCCTGCCTCACTTGTAACTCTAGAGACACTATAACGATGAAGATCCCGAGAAAGAGAAGCGGATAAAGGAACTAGAGCTGCTCCTGATGTCGACGGAGAATGAGCTGAAAGGACAGCAGGCACCGCCAGTAAGAGTGCTCCGTGTGCCGGGCGCCTTGTCCCAGTGCTCTTCTCTGGCTGTCTCTCCTCCTCTAAATATCACGTCATCCAAGTTCTGTGTATCCACTAACAACACTCTGCACCGGAAACTGCTACTGATTGCAGCCTATTAGTCTTAGAATGTGCACGAGCTGAACCGGAAGTAGCCGTTTGTGTCGCATCTTCATTTTAACAAAGCTTTACCTCCCTGCAGTGCCCCATTTGCTTGCTTCTTGCACTGTTGTTTCTTGGCCTGTGCCTACATATCTTACAACCTCAAATTCCATATGAAGCGTGTTTACTGTACACGTGTTTTAAATACCTGCTACTATCTTTTGTTTACATGTATGAAAGCCGTGTGGGCCATTCCTGTTAGTAGTGGTAGTGTGTTTGTGTACACACATACATGTTCCCAAAGGTGTGTGCACATGTGCAGGCAGGGGTGTGTGCACACAAGTGTCCAGGCCAGAGGTTGACATCAAGTGTCTTCCTTGATAGGTCTCCATAGTAAACATTTTATTGTAATTGTGTGTGCACACTTGTATGCACTCTTGGAGGTAAATGGACAACTTCCCAGAATCAATTCTCTCCTTCTATGGGCTCTGGGGATCAAGCTCTTCTTTAACTCCCTACCCATCTCGCTGGCCATCCACCTTATATTTTTAAGACAGGGTCACGTGAAACCTGGAGCTTGCCCATTTGGCGAGGCTTCCTGGCCAGTAAGCTCAGAGGCCTGCCTGTCTCTCCCCCTCCAGCACTGGGGTGACAGGCTTGAACTGCTGTGGAAGCTTGGGGATCAATCGCAGGGTCCCGTGCTTACAGCAGTCACGTTTCAGACTGAGACATCTCCCCACCCTCCGCCCCTTCTTCTTTTTCGTACTGACAATTGAATGCCTCCACACAGGCTACATTGCACTCTGCCCCCGACCTGCAGTCCTAGCCCTTGGGTGAACCATTTCTGAATCCTTGGTTGGGCAGCAAACTGGGAAAGCATCTTCCTCCACCTTGGAGGATTTGTAGTTTGCCCAAAAAGTGAGTTAGGGGAGAAGTGATACCCAGTAGGGATTCTTTAGGTGAAATTTCCTTTTTTGTTGTTGTCGTTAAATAATAAATAATGCGCACATGATAGTTCAACCACTTTTGAACTTTAGTTACTGTTTTGCAATTTCTCCTCTTGCATGGTCATGCTGTAAGGGGACTTCTGTTAACTTGATCTACTTTCCTAACCACATAAACTCTGCAGCCCCAACTCGCATTGGTGCAACCTGTAGCCTTAAAAAAAGATAGAAGCAACACGATATATGCAGATAAAAGCAGCTCTAACCAGTGACTCCTTTCAATGGTTTGGCATGCACATTGGACCATTCTGATGTCACAGCAAACGGACAGCTTGCAAACTAAACTCAAATGGGTTTCTAAGACACCTAAGACTTCTGTACTTTGTAGCAGTCCCAAGGTTTAACATTTGACTAAAATCATAGCGACTGAAGCAATCCTGTAGGTATAAATTGGAGGGCTATTGCAAAGCTGTCAAAAAGGAAACATCTTGACAACTGTCTGCCAGGCCTGAGTTTTGGATGAAGCAACTCCTTTTTATCTTGCCTCCTGCAGCATCTGACGCCTTGTGCAACATCGTTGCTAAGTTTCTTCTTCCTTTCTTCTCCCCATCCTTATTTCTACACACCCCCTTCCTCAGAACCATACTTGCAGCTATCCAGGGTGGCACAGCACCTCCATTGTGGACCAGGCCAGACCTCATGGAGACAGTGCACCTGTTTCCTGTTTGGGAGAAGCCCACGCCACTCCTTCTCTGCCTGCAGATCCTGGCTCCCTCCCTGAGGAAAGCGCCTCGCCAGCAAGGTGCATGATCCTGCACCAGGGAACCATTCTGGACAATGTTAAGAACCTCTTAGAATTTGCAGAAACACTCCAATTTATAGATTCTGTAAGTAGAACTGCTAAGGTGCATTCATGAGAACCGGCATCATAAATCATTGCCATTTTCTATAGCAATATGGTTTGGGCCTACGTGCATGTAAAGTGACAGGATTTTAGTTTTGGTGACTCCACTCTCTCAGTGGTCTGAAAAGGCGGCTTTTGACCGTTTGCTTTCCAAGCGTAAATTTCCTTAAGAAATAAAGAAGTTCTGACTTACCACAGAAGGGCTCAGGATAAGAGCTGCGTCTTCCAGTGCTCTGATTATTTTAAGAGAATTTCTTGTGTTTTGCTTACTTCTTTGTGATTCTCTAGAAATTTTGGGGTTTGGTTTGTATGGCTTTTTGTTTTCTTTCCTTTTTTTTTTTTTTTGGACAGCACATTTGGGCTTAAGTTTCTTTGGAGTTTGGAGTGTTAACGGGTGGGGCATAGCTTTCTCTACAGAGTACTGAACATTGATTAGCAATCTCATGAGTTCACCGAAATAACCTTCTTCAGTGAAACAAATTTAAGTTCAGCAGTCACTCAGTTCATTTTCTTGGTCTCCTAGTTGGTTAAAAAGCATGCATTGCCTACAAGGGGGTCAGGGCTAGCTATTGCCATAATGTATCATATAGAAAGGTTTTCTGCTTGCTTTAAATTGCATCCAAAAGAGAGTGTCTGAGCTCCCGCAGTAGATGTGCAAGGCCAGCGGCAGGGCAACCCGTGGACCCCGGTGACCCCAGAGCTAGAAGTCCAGGTGCCCGCAGCTCCCTCCTTCCCTCAGTGCTGTATACCGGGTGATGGTGGCGCTCACGCCATGCTCACCGTCTCGAAGCTCTGTGCCTCCCACGTTGTTTCAGGAGTCTTCATGGTGTGATCTCAGCAGTTGTGAATTCCCTGAAGAAGCGGCAGCTTTTTCACCTAGCCAGCAGCACACAGGCAAAGCCTTCCAGCTTCAGCAAAGAGAGGGCCGCGGGACTAGACCTGCGGGAGAGCCCGTGAGGGTGAACAGACTGCTGAGCGAGGCTTCCCTCGGCCCAGCCAAAGCCTCACCTCCGAGGAGGCACAGCATGGTTCCGCTGGTCATCCTTCGGCGGGGCCAGGCCAGCCCCTTAGCCACGGGAGACTCTAGCTCCTTCCTCTTTGCTGACATCAGCAGCTCAACTCCCAAGCGGTCCCCTGTCAAAAGCCTACCCTTCTCTCCCTCGCAGGTAGAGCACAATTCCTGCACAGCTGTTACTAATTTTCAGCAGACACCTGAGCCTCCATAATTAGAAACTAATCTTTTGAACCAATGACTAATGACTGCTGTCCTGGCCGATTTAATTCTGTGCTGAATCTAGCTGGGATGAAGGCGATGGCCTCCCACCATTTGGGCTGGCTGCGGGCCCACTCATGACTCTGTCACTTCTCTTTCTCTCTTATTCTTGGTGGTTTGGAAGGTGGATGGATAGTTGCATGAAATGCGTTTTCATTTCCTTCTCCATTAGAACCTAACATTTCTGTCCCTCCCATGTCATCCCTGCCTCTTTTAAATCCTAACACATTTTTTGCCTCTTTGTTCGTTTATTACTAAGTGATTTGCTGACCCCGGGGAGAAGGGAACCAAATTATGATTACATAACGTTTGGATTACATCTAGAAAACGAAACCATTACGATCCATCTGTAAATGGAAATGTTTAGGGAGACAATGAAAAACAGATGCTTCCGTGAAAATAATTTAACATTTTCAATATTGGCTCTTTTAAATTTTACCATGATAACTTACCAGGGCACTGTTTGCCAAAGAACATTCTTATTTCATATAGTGCTTTTTAAGGCGTGGAGTACAATGTGTAGCAGAGCCATGAGTTTCTAAATTATAATTAACACACAATTTGGCTTCTTAAAAATAATTTTCCCAGTTATGTCTGTGAGGGTTTTGTATTTTGTGTTTCTGGGAATCTAACCTGTGGCCTCATGCACGCTATGGAAGTGCTCTACAACTGAGCTAGACCCTGGTCATCTTATAAACAGAGCTTTAAGTATAGACAAATGATCTCCCCATGTCCCAGAACAGGTGTTGCTTTCCCCATATTTTCCTAAACTGTGTTCTATGAAAATAGTTCTGCAAAACCTAACAGATGTCTCAGGAAGAAAGAAAAGTCTAGATAGGCATACAAGTTTGGGAAATGCTAACTCGAGGTTTTTAAAGGATTCTTTACTAAGGATCCCTAAGACTGTGTTTGTTTGGATTTTTCATTTTTTAATTTTTTGAATTGCAGACAGTCTTTTTGCTGCCCAGGCTTGCCCATTATTCCTGTGCTCAAGAGACAATCTTGCCTCTGAATAACTGTGACTACCGGCAGCAGCCACTGTGCATGGCTCGCCTGCGCGTTTTAAGTGACTTTGTAGGAGATCAGAGCTGTTACCCTTCCCACCTTGGGAACGTGAGGATCCTGACAGACACACCTTCTTCCTCAATAATTCTCCGCATGAGGCAAACCTTACATAAGAATAGTCTAGGTTACTAGATCATCAAACCGAGAAAACCAAATATGAAAGAAAAATAGAATAATGTTGAGAGCACATCTCATTCTCTTCAATGGCGAGTGGCATTTACGGAGGAGATTTTCTTTGAGTTCTGCAAGGCTTTTAGCATCAACCCTCTACATCTTATAAATAACGCGCCAGACTCCGACTACTCAGCTGAAGTAAATCAGTCCCCTCGCCAACACTGCACGATTGTTAGCATTTGCTGTGTGGGTGGGTGTGGCTTCCAACCGGGTGAGCGCAGGCTCATTATTTAATCTAGGGGTTTTTCTTCCTTCCATATTTAGTTTTTGAACACTTCCAGCAACCATGAGAACTCGGGCTTAGATCCGCCGACTTTAACCTCCACTCCTCTCGGCGGTCACAAACTCACACCGAGTCACAGAGACCAGTCTGGGAAAACCCAGAAGGAGAATTCCAAGTAAGTCCTCAGTTCAATAAGGAAAACATTTATCTTATCTGTTTATATTAATAGAAATATAGTTCCAGAAGTCTGACCCTCCTGTGGGCTTGTAAGTCCTTCACTGTGCATTCCCAGAGTGAACAGACCCTGAGAAGATCACAACAGAGAGAAAGCAGGAGCTAAGCTCAGCTGCCTTTTGTGGTGCACTCTAAAGTCTCATGTGCGTGCAGCCCTAGTTTTCCTTCCCACTGTTTTTCAATTGTACTCTTTAAAAATACAGAATAAAGCAGGCTAGGTGTGGTGGTACATGCCTTGAATCCCAGCACTCGGGAGGCAGAGGCAAGCAGTTCTTGGTGAGTTCGAGGCCAGCCTGGTCTACAAAGCAACTCCACGGCAGCCAGGGCTACACAGAGAAACCCTGTCTCAAAAAACTAACAAAACAACAACAAAAACATTAAAAAGGACTAAATCATTTAGAATAAAATTGAGAGTGGTTCATAGTTTATATTTTTTAATCTTATTTTTTTTCTTTTTATAGCATAAATACATTAAACTCTCTTTAGATACTCATAGGAATGAACATGCATGTAGTATATATGTGTGTATGTATGTATGGTTGTACAGTTGCATAGTTGTGTGTGTGTGTGTGTGTGTGTGTGTGTGTATTTCAAAGCCCAGGGCTGATTTACTGGAAAGAAATGAATTTTTTGAAAGAAATTCATTCTTATTACTTTCAAGTAAAAACAAAGTTTTAGACATTAACTTGTTTCCTGGTTTTGGCCCCATTTGAGAGAGTAGATAGGAGTGATTTGTAACCAATACCAGATATCACGGTGCTTTTGGTCATTATACAAATCCAGGGACATTATCTGTGTCTTCAGGACTGTTCTCGAAAGGTGGGAACTACTTTAGTGTTCTTAGTCTTAGGGCATATTGTTTTGAAATATTTGTAAATCTGCAACATAACTTAAAACAGATCCATTTTTCCTTATGGTTAAATGAGCTGTTCCCCATTTCTGTCACTAACAGCCTTTCAGTGGGTGTGCTGAGAGCAATGGAAGGGACAGGCATCTTTCCTATTGAGCCTTTGCTTGTTCTGTTCTTTAGCTTTAGAACTCCAGCTATCAAGAGGTCAATCCTCGAAAGCTCTCCAAGAACTCCCACACCATTCAAGCACGCGCTCACAGCTCAAGAAATTAAATACGGTCCCCTGAAGATGCTAGTAAGTTCGAGAAAGGCCCTTGGATTTAGTGGGCTTATGATTGTAGACAAGAAGTTTGCTCTGATCCAGAACTATCCACTCTTCCCTTAGCCTCAGACACCCTCTCACTTAGTTGAAGACCTACAGGATGTGATCAAGCAGGAATCCGATGAATCTGGAATGGTTGCTGAGTTTCAAGAGAATGGTCCGCCATTACTGAAGAAAATCAAACAAGAGGTAGGTCACCTGGCTCCTTTGTGCACTGTGAACTGCTTGACACAACATACTTTTCATACAAAGAAGTTGAAAGGCACTGCCATATGTGGATTCCAACCTTAAATTTGGAAAGCTACTTCTGTCAATTTCTTTAGACAGAAAAGATGCCAGAGAGGAGAAAGGGAAGAGAGGGCAGCAGGTTTCTACTCTACTTTCAAAAATTATTGATGCTAGACAGTGTGAATCACACAGATGTGGAGAGAAAGACTACCAACCCAAATCATGGCAAAATTAATTAGAACAGTGTGTGTGTGTGTGTGTGTGTGTGTGTGTGTGTGTGTGTGTGTGTGTGAACTCTCCATAAGGCAGAGTTCAAGAGATCAGCATTGGACATGAGAAAAATAAGGGTTTTTATGGCTCAGGAGTCAGGGGTTGGGGAGTCCAAATGGAGAATTTGGCAGGCAAATAGGAGGGGTTATGGGAGCAGAACATAATCATAACAAATTGGTCATAACAACCTCCTGAAACAAAGACATGTTTGCAAGGTGGTCATGACAAGGTGGTCATAATAACCTTTAAAACAAAGGCATTGGTTGCTGTTTCCTTGAAGAAGCAGTACAGTACCATTTGTAGTTAAGGTTACAGGTGAAGCATAGCCCAATCCTTGAGAAACAGATTTAATTATAAACGGGAATGAGTCTAGTTTTTAGTATAAGGTAGCTTTCAAGCCCAAGATGGAGGCAGAAGAGGATGGATGGGTGGACAGATAAACAAACAGACGACAGATAAATAGATGATAGATTCCTTCTGTTTTTGTTTTGTTTTGTTTTGTTTTGTTTTTTGTTTTGTTTTTTTAAGGACCAAGAAATAGTTTATTCTACTATAGACCTTGGCCAGAGAATGTAGATTCAAGTTATCGTGAATGGCAATGGCACGTTCCCTTAGAGAACGGGTATTTACAAGTGCAAAAGAACGAAATTTTAACCATCAAGAATCAAAGCGTTAGCTTGTTGGAAAGAGACTGGTCTTCTTTCATCTAAGACTTTGTATTTGAAGGACTGGGCAGACATTTAGACTTGGGAGTAAATGTTTCCTGGAAATCTCTCTTCCATACAAAGCACTTCCTGTTTGCTTTTAGGTGGAATCGCCAACCGATAAAGCTGGAAATTTCTTCTGCTCAAACCACTGGGAAGGGAACAGCCTGAGCACCCAGCTGTTCGCTCAGGCATCTCCTGTGGCAGATGCCCCAGTAAGTATCACGTTGGAACACTGACTTTCATGATTTGTGTCCCACAGAGTCCTGTGTGTGGCATGTGGGAGCATGGTGCCTTCCCCACTGTCTAGTGCACCCTGTTTCTAGAGATTCACACCCACATGATTCTTTGGTGTTTACTTTATTTGTCGTCTGAATGTATTTCCTTCTAGTTGAGCAATCTGTTGCCTGGCTCCATTTGCTATCTAGCACAGTGGCAATCATGGTGTGTGGCAACTACTTGGCATTCTGGGACCCTAGCATAGGAGTCCTTACACAGCCGCAGGAGAATGCCCTGCTGCTCACATTCCTTAGTTACAATGGCACAGCGTTTGCATGTAGCCCATGCAATCCTCCTTTGTACTTTAAGTTGTTTTTGATTAACTCATATCTCACATGGTGTAAATGCTGTGTGAATAGCACTTTTGTACCTGAGTGTTTTGATTGGTGAATCCATGGATGCAAAGCAGATGCTCTGTCACTTTGCTGTGGTCATCGCATTCTAACAGTTAATCTGTGGATAGCGTCTCCCACAACTTACGGACAACCAGAGCCAATGAAAATTGTTAATATTTACTCAGTGTGTACCATCTCGTAAGTACTATTTCAAGGTCTTTAGATGAATTAATTCATGCAATCCTCAAAAATAATGTTAATAACATTTTCACTTTCATTGAAGCAGCTGTGCAGTTGGGTAACTTAGGGATTTGGTTGCTCAATATTATATACGTAACTGGGTGGTGCTGCATTAGAACTGTGAAAGTGTGTTTGTAAATGCGACACTTTTACCGTTGTATGGTAGCTGCTGTTGATTCATAGATTTCAAATGCTTCTGTGCCAATATGTAACACCAAGAGTTCTCATTAGGCCATCTCTTGTTTTTAGAAGCACGGATTAATAAATTCGTTTAGTAGATAGATTTTGTGTACATTCCGCATGCTTAAAATTAGGATTTTTATTGTTTTGGTGATATTTGGTGATGTTGATGGGCTGAGGGGCTAGTATAGAGCTGACTCCTTTTTAGCTCAGGGAGAAGGGACCTTCTGGCAGAGTCCTGTGTTTCTTCATGCTAATGTCTGTCATCTCATAGTAGTCTCTCTAGAGTTGGGTTTGTGTTCACTCTTGTCTTATCTCACCTCATTTAAATTTCAAATGATTTCTTTCCCTTTAGAATATTCTTACCAGCTCTGTTTTAATGACACCAGTATCAGAAGATGAAGACAACGTTCTCAAAGCCTTCACAGTCCCTAAAAACAGGCCCCTAGTGGGTCCCTTGCAGGTAATGACTGTTCTAACATTTGGTGTCTTAAAATTTCCTGGCTGAAAATCTGTTACCTTACGTTGTCTTTAATGTTTTAGATATAAAGGAATGCTGCTTTAAAACAACTTCATCTCTAGAAGTCACCCTATGGTGTTTTTGTTATTGTTCATGTGAAACACAGGAAATTCTCCTTCAGTCAGGGCCCTCAAACATGATGATGTGAAACATTTTTTTTAACTGCGACTGAGACTAAGATTATGTATTGCCCTAGGCCGTGTCAGTATCTCCTGCTTTTAAACAATCTTTAAAATGTGTATCTCTATAGTTTATTTTTGCTGTTTCAGAACTTTATTATGTGTGTTCTATCATTAAGCAACCAAGAACCCAGAGACTAGATTTCTACCGAAATGTGAAATTAGGTAGAAAATAATAACAATGCATTTGACTGTGAGAACAGAAAGGCAGCCATCAGTGTTGGTGGGCCATCTGTTATCAAGCTTTAATATCAAAAGAGGTTTCCCTTGTAACTCTGAAGTGGGTGTGTATTGCTGAAATGCAACAAGTTCCAAATGAATCCTGAGCCAAGTGTAAATAAGAATGCAAATTTGTACCCTCACATTATTTAAAGCTGTTCCCAACATTAAATAGCCTAGCACCTAGTCAGCTGCAATTCTCTCTCCTCTTTTCCCCTTTTGTTACTCAGAGAGAAACTCTACCTGAGCAGGTAGATAGCCTGGTTAGAAGCAAGAAAGTCATACTTGATGGGGTAAGTTCAAAGACAAGGTAAAGGGATGGTAGACTTTGAGAGGACCTCTTCGCTTATGGACCTCCCCACATGCGGTATGCCAGCTCATTCCAAGTTGTGAGAATCCTAAAATCTAGCTGTTTTTAAGTATTTGTGACATTTGCTATCATTCAAAAATATTTTTAATTCTTGGAGGGTTTTATTTAGTGTATTTTGATCATACCTGTTCCCAACTTCTCCTCTTAACTCCTCTGAGGTCCACCTCCGCCTCCCTCGTCCCCTACCTCTTGTCTTCTTTTATTCAGTCACCTACTGACTTTAATCTGTGTCACTCAAAATACTTCTGGGAGTGGAGCCACCGCTGCACCACGGTCCACCTGCCAGGAGTCTCCCACCCTTAAAGAAAACTGACCCTCCCTTCCCAGAAGCCATCCACTGTCCAGAGCTCTGCAGGCAGGAGGAGGGTTTGCGAGCCTCCTCCCACCTTACAGTGTTGACTGGCGTGATCTTGTGTGGTCAGCTTCAGCCTCCATGAGTTCATGAGTGCCATGCTCCTGTCATGCCCAGAAGACACTATTTTGCTTCAGACCGCCCCAGTCTGTGGCTCTTACAATCATTCTATCCCTTCTTCGGTGGTGGTTCTCAAGTCAGGTTGTGAAGTGGATATTCCATTTGCCACTGAGGACTCAGTCCCTTACTCTCCATACTCAATACCCTATTGACTCCAAGGTGACCCCTTGTGAGTTTCTGCATCTGCCACCATCCAGAATACCAAGAAACATCTCTGATGAGGTCTGAGAGCTTCACTAATACACTGGTAGGGAAATACGAATTTAGAGAGCAGCTTAATACTGTTCCCATTTAGCAAAGTAATAGTAGTGGATTTATATGTGGGGCCTGTGTACTCCCAAACCATGGGTTGTGGCCAAATCTGCAGTCATAAGCTTACTTCTATGAATCAGGTCTTAACTTTAAAAAGAAAATAGTTGGTTACCCCTATAACATCTGTGCCACTGTTGCAGTCATGGCCATCTCTTGTCATGTGACTCATTCTTGCAGGCCACAGTGTTCACAGCTAGGTAACACTGATGGCAACTTTCTGTCCTCTTAGCAGACTGCCTAGCATCTTTCCGTGCTATGGAAACTAGCCAGTATGGAGAAAACTTCCTGGTCAGTACTAACCCAGAAAGACAAACATGTCATGTGGATTTTACTGCTGAATCTTTATATTTGTGTGTTTAATTTGGATTCCCTGTATAATCTAGGAATATAGAAAGGGTTCATTGCAGGGGGAGGGGGAGAAGAAAGTTCTCAAGGAGAGGAATAGTAGGACAAGTGTGATATGAAGGGGAAAATGGGGAATAACAAGAGGAAGGTTTTAGTTGGAGAGAGATGGGAGATAGAATAGAGGATGGAATTAAGAGAAAGGTTTGGAAAAGCCATGTGAAAAAACAATACCTACTGTTTTATGAACAATGTAATAATGTATATAATTTAAATTACCGCACAATGAGGATTATGCTCATTTTAGAAGCTGTCGGTTGCTAAATTAAAAAGCCCCTCTAGCTGTTGGTCAGAGGTGTCCCGGAGACCCCCCAAAAATACAGGCTATTGCCATGAATCATGGTTGATATGAAGACTCTGCTGGTGGTGATAGCACATGCCTTGGTCACAGGACACGGAGAAATCGTTTGGCATTTGCTATCACTGTTTAGGTAATATAGACAACTGCATGAGTTGGAGGTACAGTGATTTATTAATTCAGCTGGATCAATTCCCTGTTACTTTCCTCAGATACTAACTGCTTTGATATAAGATGAGTGTGGGCAGGAGTAGGCGAGAGGGAAGTCCAATATTTATGCCACGTCAGTTCTTAAGGCAGTCAGTCTTGGCTTGGCCTAATGTAGAGAAAGCTCAGAAAACCACAAAGGTATGGGAGGTAAAGAAAGGAGAACAATTCATTCAGGCCTAGTGGGACACAGAAAAGGGATTAAAAGGATGGCAAGGCAAAGGGTAGCTATGTCATCCAGAGCTGGTCCTTGGTACAGAAGGAACCCTTGCTTTGTTCTTTGGCCCTTTGTTTTCAAAGCATAGAATTTGACTGATGCTATTTGTACTTAATGAAAAATTAAGTTTTATACATATTTTATAACCTAACTTGAGATTCAGCCTGTATTTACTGAAGTATAGATAAGTGTCACCTAGTATGGGGCTGCATGTTTTTAATCTTAGCATTTTGAAAGCAGAGGCAGGCAGATCTCTGAGTTTGAGGCCAGGCTGGTTTACCTAGAGTGTTTCATACCAGCAGAGCTACATTGTGCGAGCATAGCTGAAAAAAGAACAGGAAGAAAAGGATGAAAGGGAGGAAGGGAAGAAGGAACATTTGAATTTCAGAGTAAAGTGTGAATATATTTGGTGACAGTAATCATTCCATATATTGAAAACTCATGATTATGCTCCTAAAATCTAATCCTATCGGTTTTCAGCTTAACCAAACAATGGTTAGGCCTAAGTCTTCAGAGCTGAACATGGGATAGATAGAAAACTCAATGAGAAATAGGCAGGCTTACTGAGAGTGTGCGTCCTTGCCTTCCTGTCTTGTCAAGGTCTCTACGCCACTGTGTAGCCAGGCTGGCTGGCCATGAGCTTCACCAAGCTGCACCCCACGGTCTCTACACGGGGAAGACATAAGCTTGTGTTACTTCCTCTGCCTTTCACGTGGATTTTGGGAACCCAGACTCAGGTCCCCAGGCTTCTGCAGCAAGCATTTTCACCCACTGAGCCAGTTCTCCAGCGCCCTGCCACAGATTTTTTTTAATGCTATCAACATTTTAAAAACTAGCACAGGACTTTCTCAACATGGGCGTTGAGCCTCTGAGACTGTAGGCACACACATGTGATTTCTAAAATGTATCAGACTTTTCTGGTAATTCCTGAGGGGTGCATCAAGTGATCCTGAATATTTAAACATCTCTAATGTTCGTATTCACCTCAATCCAGCATTTGTACGGTGCTCTTCCATACCTGTGAGGACATGCTGGTCTTCTTACCTGAACTGTGGTTGATATCAAACATCGCATATACTGAGTTTTTACATACGTATCATAACTTCTAATTTGTGAATTAGGCAGTAAGAGATTAACAACAACAGTGAAATGCAGCAAGTATTAAAATACACTGTACTAGGGGCTGGAGAGATGGCTCAGAGGTTAAGAGCGCTGGCTGCTCTTCCAAAGGTCCTGAGTTCAATTCCCAGCAACCATATGGTGGCTCACAACCATCTAAAATGAGATCTGGTGCCCTCTTCTCGTTGTGCAGGTGAACATGCAGACAGAACACTGTATACATAACAAATAAATAAATCTTTAAAATAAAAAAAAGATACACTGTACTATAAGTTTAACTCTATGAGTTGTTTATTTCTGGCTTCTCTAATATCATCTGACTGCAGCTGCCCCCAAGTACCATAGGGAGATCCACTGTTGTTTCAAGCGATGGTAATTTTGTTTGTTTAAACATAAAGCCATTTCTTGTGTTCCCACTGATAATTCATCTGGATCTAATTAGGCAGGTTTCTCATATATGCTACTGGTGAACATACTGTGCATTTACTAAACAGTCTGGCTGTTTGACATCCTTCGCTACTCTCCCTTTCACTGTGAAATATCTGACAAAAGCAAACTAAAGAAGGAAGGGCGTGTGCTGGCTCATAGTTTAAGGGTTACCAGCCATCAGGGCAGCCAGAGCTGGAAGTGGCTGGTCACATATCACCCAGTCGGGAAGCACAGAGCAGTGCGTGACAGTGTTCAGCTCGCTCCCTCCTTTTACGCAGCCCAGGACCCCAGCCTGAATCCAGCCTGAATTAGTGCCGCCCATGGTTGGAGTGTGGTCTCCCTGTTCAATTAACTGCTCAAGATAATCCCTCAGAGGACCTCCCAAAGGCTGGCTCTGTTTAGGTGACCCCTCACACGGATGCCCAAAGGCTAGCCTCAGTGATTCCAGATCTTGTCAAGTTGTTGATCACTGTCAACCTTAGCATTGAATAAATCTCAGTTTATATAATCCATAACTTTTCTGATTGTACTTTTAATAAAGTAAATACTAAATAGATCTTTAGCCAAACCATCTAAATATTTTTGTTACAGCCTAATTTTTCATTACTTTGGTTTTACGTTCTTGAAATGGGCTCTTACTATACTATGTAGCCCAAGTTGGTCCCAAATTTATGATGATTCCTCCTGCTTCAGCCTCCCAAGTCTGGGGTTACATATTA